GGTCTCAATGAATGTGGTGGTTTAGGCCACTGTACACCCAGACCATAGTCTTTCATCCTCTTGGCATTGCCAAACCTCTCCAGACAGGCCAGGGTGTAGCACCGCAGCTTGTATTTCTTGTAGTGGGCCATGATCAGGTAGACAGCGCGCATGCGACGGACTCGCTTACGTGCTAACCCTCCACGTGCATGCTGGAAAATAATGTGTTATACTATATTCACAGAGAATACACAGAATACCATAAGAAAAAATCAGTGTAATGTATGTGAGATATGCAATATGTGAGAGTTATACTAAGTTATCTTATGAATTTATAACTCTCAGATATTGCATATATGAATGTAGTGGCATCCGTCGCTCAGGCGTTGTGAGTCTGACTCGTAATTCTAACTTACCGTGATCAAAACCCACTGCTGGCTGCGTGGATTTTTATCATGGTATGAGGCATCGCAATTCGACCCAGGCTTAAATGGGTATCAGGATGGCTGTCCTGGGGAAGTAAAGAAGGCCAGCGCAATGCTGACCACATTCCCCATCTAGCGCTGATGGTCTGTAAAAATATGGGTGCTCTTCCTTTTTACCCGATACGCCTTAAGGCGTGAAAAAGGATCTTTACTTTACATTACTTATCTTATGAATGTACACAACATAAAAATAATAATTTACCTTCTAAATTTGCATTTCCTACAGAACAATTTTAATTTCAGTTCCAGACAACTGTTACGTTAAGGTAATGATTGTTTATGGGACACACATTGAGAAAATCTGATAACTAGAATGTCTGTGCAATTAAATCCATTGGGTCATAGGAATAAAGGCAAATTTAAAAAAACAAAGAAAAGGGAGACAGAGTTAGCTTTAAAAAAAAATGCAGAGGATATGGAGTGAACTGCATTAAACTGTAAAGGATAGGACAACCTGACATGAGTTGGTTGAGGGCCTTTGTTCCACTGGGTGATAAATGGTAGAAGCAGCACAAGAGTGGCTGATTAAACACAATAATCATTATATGGCTTGTCAGATGACGTAGCTTGAAGGCGTTAAAAAAAGGTTCTTTACTTTTTATTTAACAGATGATATAATCAGTTATGTCTCTCCACAGATTGTGGTCTTTGCTGTATTCAATCAATTCTACTGTTGGTATTCCTCCATGCCATTATCTTAGTTGTACCTACTAGTATTTTCCCTCTAGCTCTCCAACTGATGGTCTTTTTAGTTTCTCTACTTGAACTAAAATAATGATATAAGGTTCATCCCTGGGTATAAAGTTAATGACTAACTAACTGCCACATCAATATCTTATTTTGGATGCATCAGCATTGATTTGTATTTCTTTAGTGGAACTGTAGACTTGTCGGACTTTCCGGAAGCAACATTTATATATATTTTTTTTTAAAGAACACAGAAACCAAAGATAATTACAAAGAAACACACAAACTTACTTTCTGTAAGAACACCACAATACTTGGTATCTTAGCATCTCTTGCCTGCTCTAGAGCAAAGAGAGTCTGCGGTGAGCGAATGAAGATTTTTGACTTGCCAAACATGACATCATCTGCAAATCCTTGTGAGTTAATGATGAGTTTCACACCTTCAGTTACCTGGCCACGGTAATTTGGCCAGGTCTTAGGGCAGATCATCTTGTACCTAAACAAACAAGTCAATTATAAAAATGGCTGATGCAATCAGGATTTACAAATCTTACTTCTGTTTGTGTGGTTACATTCTCCCTCTGTACTGTCAGTTCTAACGTACTTAATTTATATTTCAGTAACTTCTTCAAATCTATTTTCGGTCAGTTTAAGGCCATGCTGTTCTGCTCTATTCCAGTTTCAATTATAAACAATATTGTAAGAATCAAATAATTAGGAATATTCCTTTCAAAATCGGAGTGCTTCTGCCTGAGAGGCGAGGAACCAACAGTCTGCATTTAAATAAGCAAGATCTGTAAAAATAGATGTGCAAGCAAAACTCAGAAGTCAAGAAGTGGATGAACAACTAGAACTTTCTGCCAGATTTTACAGCCAGTGAATGCAGAGAAAGAAGAAAACTCAGGAGTGTATATACCTTTGCAAGAAACGATCATAAGCCATTCGAAAAGCAAATCCAGCTCTGCGGACTCTGACGTTCTCCAAGAGACCCAAGTATGCCACTTGGTGACGAGTTCTAGTATCATCAAACAGGACTGGGGACTTCATCTCATTTGGCTTGACGCACCGCACATAGAATGGTATCTGACGGTTAAATAACGTAATGGTCATCATATTATGTATATTTTATAACAACAAAATACGCCAGTGTACAACATGTAAAACAAATATATTTCTTCTTTTTCTTCAGTTTGCCCTTTAAAAAAAACATTGGCACATTTTTGTGGTGTACAGCTAGACTACATAATCTGCACCTTTTGGCCCAACACATCCAATTGCAACTTCTCATCAGTTGCCTTTTACAACATGCTTGATAGAGGTGCTGTGTGTCCAATCTTTTTCTTCCCAAAATAGGACACAGAAATGGCATGCTAACAAACATTTCATGAGAATTTTCACAAATGTATTAATTATTATTATTAAGGAATATAAAACATCACATTTCACCCTATATTAAAAACCTTATAAAAGAAAGTGTAATTTACATCACGATTTTCCATTGATGGTTCAATGACAAACAGTGCTGAAAAAAAATCAGCATCGAAAAGCACCATTTAATTTATTCTTCTTCTGCTGTTATTTTCCAATAAAGAAGACCAACATGAAATTCATGTCAAGCTCTTTGTATGTAAACGTTCATGATTGCTTGGATTTTGCAGATCAAATTTGCTATTTAGAATCAGAAAACCTCTACTAAGTTGCTAAGGTACTAAAGACAGTGTTATTAATCTTAATATTCAATAATCAGCCGCAGTAAAATAGGCATACTGGCATTATAAATTTTAATTCGTCTTTCAAATGCAACTCACAAGCATGAAGAGACATACATCTAACAGATAGGCTTTAACTAGTGCAAAACTGACCTTGCTGGCAAGATTTTCCACAAGCGCAATCATGGAGTTTTTGAATGAGGTTCCAGCAGTGATCGGTCTCTTGGTGGTCTAAGGGAGATTAGTGAAAACTATACAGGTAAACCCTTACATCAACCAACCATGCGCAATCTTATTTAGTAACATTTATTCACTCATTAAAAAAAATACATTTTTGGAAAGAAAGGAACAGCTTAGGAAAGAAGAGTATGAAAGAGCGATACAGCTTATAAGAGAAGAATGTTATCATTATCATCGTCATATGCCATGCCGACAAGTGTGGGTGGTCATGGTAGATCATCTCACATAATCACCCGTGTCACAAATCAGGACTATGTTCTTTTTTTTAACATAATGTCATAAGGCCACTCTAGGTGCTTATCTCTGTGTCCTCCCCTTGCTATTTTTATATGTCACCAAGTTTTCGAGAGTATTTCTCTTCATAACATACTCACAAATTCATGGCTTCTGTCTACTTTCTCTAATAAGTTTAAAGTTCTCACTTTTTCTTGAAAGGCTGTCCTGTTTATTTGTTATATAATATTCTCTGAATGTTTTTTCAACCCTCTCACCCCAGAAACACCAAAAAATGGGTCACAACCCAGTGAAATTTCAGCAAAACAAAATCTTTTAAAAAGACACAAAAAATTTTACACAGGTCACTAAAAACTTCATTAGAAATATATTTAACTACATAGAGATATAGGAAGGCAATAATTTAATCTTCTTCTTCATATTCATCAGCTGTAAACTCAGGCAGGAGGTTCTGGTTGTTTATCCCCTTCTGGACTTTAATCGTTTCAGAACCTAAGTTTTGCATGTACCAACGTTTTACAGATCTGGCTTATTTGTATGCAGACTGTTGATTTCTTGCACTCCAACTTCGAAGAAAACATACCTAATTAGTGGACTCTTATGACATGCTTATTAGGGAGCACTGGGTCTATTTTATCCCCCCCCCCCCCCCCCCCCATCCTACCCCCTCCAAAAATGGGGTTCAGGAACCCACAAGGGGAGGAATAATCAATAAACATTAACTGGGTGAAGCATTAAATGAATACATTCCACAGAACCTTAAAAAAAATATGTATTGGGTGACTCATGCCGTGACCCAGCGACCTCTATTCAATAAGGCTTACAGGCAAATCTGATGTCAACTTTAAAAAAAAAAGCTATCTGGCTCGAAGGAAAACACCCCAAAATGATATTCATAGTTAATGTCTTTATATCCTGATCTGAAAGTCTGTGCTGGTGCGAACTCAGCCAACAGCACTGAAAATGTGTCTCCTAAACAGGTCACTATGGACTAATCATTAACAATGTGTTTTCGTAAATAGGTCACTAAAGAATAATCAGAAAGTGATGTTTACATGGGAAAATGGACCCTACCGGAAGTGTCAGCTCTGCAACTTCTCGAGGTGCAAGGGTTGGAGAGGAAACTGTTTCTTACCTCTGTCACACTCTGTGCTCCTTCTGGCCACATTGATTTGATTACACTGTTGGAACTGTTGGAAAATACATTGGAATAAGAGTAAAACACTCACATCAAGGAATCTAATAATAAACCACTGGGAGGGGGGGGGGGGTGCACAAGGTTTTAAGGGGGCTGTCAAGCCATTTGGAAAGTGAGTTCATTTGTAATTGTAATAATCTGTTGAATATCTACAATTAAAAATTGAATTAATATGATAACGTAGGTATTGTTTAAGAACTTATTCTGACCAAAACTTATCTCCATACTTTCTGTTTCGCTTGTTGCGGAATCAATTATCCTACTCTTTTTAATCACATTATGTTATGCTTGGGACTGGAGAGGAAGGGGCCCTTGATATATACTCATGAAAGAGGCGCAACCTGAAAAAAGGTCGGAGACCACAGTAATAAACAAATGAAAGCGTTCACCAACTGACAGAACAATAACAGGGCAGAGAATCAATTCAAATTTAAACAGTAAGTAAAGGACCATTTTCATGTCTTCATCAGGCATATGGTGCTAAGACCCGTCAGACTTATCAGTATTTAATGGTGATCCTCAAGGTGGTCACCTTTACTTTCCAGGAAATTTCCTGGGACTCATTTAGACTTGTTCAACCTGGTAGTCCAGAAAACTATAAAATCTGCCACGGTGCAGATATAAATCTAAGACCTTAGGGTTGGCAATAAAAGCATTTCGTTTAGTCTTCTTCTTTTTAGTATAAACCAGCTATGAACTCTGATGGAAATTTTGGTCCGTCTTCTCCTTCTGCACTTTAGCCTTGTTCCAGAACTTGAGTAATGTGTGCAAATCTGTTTTGCAGATCTGGCTTGTTTGTTTGCAGACTGTTGGTTCTTTACCTCCCAGGCAGATGCACTCAGACACCGAAGCAAACACTCCTAATTAATCATCTTTTATAACATGTTTGTTGTGGGCGGGGGAGGGTACATTCACTGCTTCCTCACACAGGAAATTTAGTCACGGAATGCAACAGCTTCTAAACACACAGTAATACTCAGCGAAATCAGTTCACCATGAAACAGAACCCATGCCACAAACAATAAAAAAACCAGTAAAAATTATTTATCTTTGACTACTTTAAATGTTAAATTTACTTTAAAAATTATTTATCTTTAACTATTTTTACTGTTCAAAATTACTATAAACAGCAACAGATTTTATAATAATTTGTACAATTCCATAATTCATCATTATCATGTCGTTGCCAACTGGTATAGGTGATCACACTTCTCCACATCTCATAACATCCACACACAAAAATTTAACAGTTGATATTTTAGCTTCTTATGTGATAATAAAAACTGCCAGGAATTTTGGTACTATTCAAAAACTTTGTAGGGAGTACAGTCTTAGTCGCTGTTCATTTAACACTAATGCTAAAACAATGAAACTCCTATATTCTGGGTGTGTCATGTGTTGGTTTTTTTTCAACCTTGTTATCGTTTACTGCGTCATAATTTCTACTGTCTGTTACTTTCACTTGTTTTGTCGCCCTCACTCTGCCATGTGTGAAAACACTGTCCTTGCTTCATGACTTGGCCTTTGCAATTAATTCCCTTGACCTGTCAGTATTTCTGCAGGTAACCCTAACACTGACCCTAACCCTAACCCTAACACTTGATTAGTCATTCACAGAAAAGGGAGTTGCTCAGTTTTGTCTGGGAGAAAAGAAAGCTGTGCACTTTCGTGTGGGAGACAGTGTGTTGACCTGGTCAAATGAAGACCAGACCATATCGGCACGCTGTATATGCAAGGCAACGACCGTCTACAGCTCCTTGCAGCAGTGGTGTACACGCCGAATGAAGGCAGGTCATAACACCCCTAGACTGTAGGACGTTCCAGGGAATTCCCTATGAAATCTTGCCAGGGTGAAAAACCTGAAAAGAACCGGAATTTCTCTTACTGCCTTATTCTATTACTATTCTATCTACCCCAAAATCTTTTCAGCTGTTATCTATTTCATTTCTAATGTAGTCTTACATATAAAATGCTGACTGCTTCTTTGTAATGTTTGTGATAACTGTTTTTGTGTCAACGCCTCTTCTTAAAAATTCAGATGAATTTTGGCTCTCCAAGGCTGTGTGTTGTTCTTCTGTGAAAATGTCACTTTATTATTGTTGTTGCTTATTTGTTGTCAGTTATATGAAATATGTTTCCCTTAACATCTGATTTACATGTTTGTAAAGTTAATTTACATTATCTGCAAGCACATCATTTACCTGTTATAAAGAAGCCTCTTGATATCCATGAACAAGGTATCTCTGTTTTTATCAATGAAACCCACAATGCTATAGGTTACATCTCCAGCATAATGTTTAATGCGGAAGTCCCTGTGATGTTCCAGGGTTTTGTCAGCTGGATCCAGCTGAAACAGTTGCCATAGTCAATTATAACCAGCAGACATAAATTGCACTGAAAAAATGCATATTTTATTGTTAAAGATTCAACCACTTAGTTAATCACAGTTCCGACTTCACAGGAAACAGGTCATCCCATAGTTATTCTGTTTCTGTGCCAGCGAAAAATTACACAAGTATCCATCGCTGTCGATTACGAAAAATGTGAAATAGACCTTAATCTTGCCAAATCCAACAGCCTACACACACACACACACATTAAATGCAAAAAGCAGCAGTCAGAAGTGCCAACATAAACAGCTGACCACTAGGCAGTTGCACACACACTATTTTATTCAGTTAATAAAACACATACAGAAACAGAAATACATAATAGCAAAAAAGTCATTATATTAAATAAACTAAAGATGCTAATAATGTTTTATGTTATTTATGGTGGGCAAGTTCAAACTGGAAAAAAAAAAATTTGCACAACCCTATTAGATACAGTACTGCCACATATTTTAAAAAAAAACCAAAAGTTGTGTATCCGACGCAGAACCAGTCCTAGCATATTTTTTTTTTCTGTTTGGTTTTAGTAGGCAATTTTATATCTGGTAGTTTGCCATTGCTTTCAACATGGCTAGATCTCAATACCACTGTCGAAATTGATGCAAAGTGGTCTGCTGCCAAATAACTCACAACTGGAACTGAACCCTGAACTTGTGAATTATGAACTGCATTCACAATGCATAAGCCACAGGAGATGACTAACATACACTCAGTACTGAAAAAAAAAATCCATTGTCACAAATAAAGTTCTAATAGAAATACTGCCAGACATGAACATATTACCAACAGAAGTACCACTGTTACAAATACAGATCCTGTGAGAAACATCTCTGTCATCAAATGTTTAAAATAAATTTAAAGTATCCTGTATCAAATTCACAGCCAAAAAATACATTTCTCCCAGATTTGCGGTACCTATCATGGAATCAAGGCCGAAGGGTTGCGATTTCCATAGTCCCGAGCCAAAGGGTTAAGAACTCATGGTTTCTGGGTAGTAAAAAAAAAAAACACACACACATATAACATATAAAGTTCCTACAGAATAGAAAATCACAATAATGAAAATCCTTTACCTTTCTGCAAGTGAATCGATCATGTTTACCAAGCTTCTGAGCCAATGCATCTAGGAAAATCTGCAATTGAACAGTTTATGTTAATCTATATACTTAATATTATAATAATGTATGCAAACATATATATTCACACTAATGTCAGATCTATTTTCTGGCATTTCATTTTTATCATTTGTTAACAAACTATTCATCAAGTCACAAACAGACATAAAGGGAACGCAAATACTGTATCTATATATATTCTGCATGTTGCGTCCTTTCGTCCTATTTTTCTTCTTTTTCTTTACAGAAAAAAGTATTGCCTTCCACATTTATCCCTTCTTTCTTCTCATTCAAAATGTGTGCACCTGCATGTTATTACAAAATTATTTTCTGCAGCAAAAATATTGACTTATGACCGAGTTTCATTCCAACTAATTGTAAGATGAACTGTTCGTAAATCGAATTTATATTTGTAAACACTATTTTCATTCAAGTAAAGTAAAGTAAAGTTCCCTTTTCCCGCATTTCGGCGCATCGGGCATATGGGCAGAGCGTCCCATATTTTTACAGACCATCAGCACTCGGTGGGTAATGTGGTCAGCATTACGCCGGCTGTCTTTACTTTCCCAGGACAGCCCATCCTGGTACCCATTTTTAGCTGGGTCGACCTGCGACGTCCCATACCACGATAAAAATCCGCGCAGCCTGCAGTGGGTTTCGATCGCGGTATGCTGGCTTACTGGCTAGGTACAAAACAATTTTACATAAAACATAAAATTGCAATCCATGTCCGTTTCATTATTATACATAATGTGAAAAATACATAATATGTTCTCTATCCTGAGTTCTGGCCTGCAATGCAGTCATTTTTTTTTTACAACTTTTATTTATTTTTTGTGTGGTCGTAAGTGCATATGATTGTAAGTCATAGAGAAGGTGTACAGCATAATTTAAATACAAATCTGTGAGAGAAAAACAACAACTTACAGTAAATAAAAAAATGGAAACAATAAATAGATACTACAGGTAAAACCACAATAGACAGTGAAACAATATTAACAGAACAATACAAATGAAGCTTTCTATCTATTTAAAAGTCTGGGCAAACAAGTCACCCCACAACTGATCTGTTCCTATGCTAGCCAAAAACTACACAAAGCACTCATCGCTGTGCCTTGTGAAACAACTGAAACAGACTATAGTCCTAGTAAAATCAACAACACACACACACACACACATATCCAATGCACAAGGCAGCCATCTGAAGTGCCTACTCAGTCTGCAACCAGAAATGCAGTCCTACATCACTGACAGCAGCAGTTAGAATAAATCAGCAGTTGCACATGCAATTTATCGCACAAAGCACAGCCAGTTCTGTGATAACAGGCCACTCGTCATTTCCTGAATCAGCAACTTACAGCACAAACCAGCTTGGCAAGTTGAAAAGCATTCCAAATTACATCTGCAGCTCACAATGTTGTGTCATGATTTCAGCTAGCTAGGCGACGAAACTATATACCTTCAATCCGCAAATGCTGAAAATGCAACAACTAACAATGGCCGGAAGCAAATACCTCACCAAGACAAAACATCTGACTAGTCTATCCACCATGCTGGACCAGAAGTTTCATTTATAAAAAATAGTGAACCCAGTTATTGTATACAGAACTATTATTTTTCTTCACTTTCATATCTGTAAACTCTGGCAGAAAGTTCTGGTTGTTCATCTACTGGTCTTGTTCCAGAACTTGAGTTGTGCGTGTAATCCACTTTACAGACCTGGCTTATTTGTGTGTAGAAATCCTGGTTCTTTACCTCTCGTGCAGATGCACACCAACTTCGAGGAAACAAACCTAATTAGTCGCCTTTTACGACATGCTGTTACAGGGGAATGAGTTTATTCTTGCCTTCTCCCCTCCCTCCACCAAAGTGCTCAGGAACCCACATGGACAGCTATCATGTTAAATACAGAAGTATTACTGCATGTAGCGAATCTGTCTGGAAATATTATCTACCTCAGCAATAATGCACCTAAAGAATCTGAAAATGTTGAATACAGCAGTAATATCTATGCTGACATGTCAAATACACAGCAAGGTTGGATAAGATAATCTATATGGCGAGGAAAAAATTCAGTTGTAAAGTTGTTCCAAGTTATTAGTAGATAAACTCCCATTTGGTGAACTACTGAGTCAAATCGTCACAACTAATGCCTGTGACACGTCTGTAGAGTGTGATCTCTCTCTCTTCTTTGCTCTGCTCTTCACAACAGCCATCACTTACCTCATCTGTGACTTTGCCAACATTGAGACAAGCCTCATCCAAGATTGCAAACATTCCTTTATGTGGAAACTCCACCAGGTCACAGATAATCTTGTTGTTGAAGTAATCCACCTAGGAAGGAAAAAGACAATGATTAAATAACATTTATAAGGCTATTATAATTGTAAATTTAAAAGCATAATTAACTGGCTTATGATTTATTTCATATAATTATATAATTGTCCAATCAGTCTGCACCGCAACTTGGTTTATTTTTATGATGACCTGCACATTTCATATATAGCCTTTAAGTAACATAATGCTTTTATTAAAGAATAAAAGAAACTTTCCTTTCTTCTTCTTCTTCTGCGCTAATCTGAAGACGCAAATGCATTATGCCCGTTTACAACATGGCTGCAAGATTTGTGCATTTCAGCCGCCACATCCAACTTCTGAAGGCATTTGTTGCTTGGGTTAGTCTTCCAAGAATTGAAATTTTCAATACTTATAAAACATTTATTTTAGCATGAAGGTATACATTTTAATTACATATTTTAGTAGACACTTGCATACTTCTATTGAAATTAATAGAAATACTGATCCTACAAACTGTTACCAAAAAATATGCATCATTCTTAAATATTTAAAAAGCAGAAGGTTTTACAGTAGAAATCCCAAGAGTGAACACAAACACTAGTGTATGCTTTTTAAAGAGTGGCCACTACAGAAACCACATTCTTCTCATGGGATCAGTCAGTAGAGGCACCTTGGGATGACTGCTCTATTAGAGGACTAAGCACACAAGAAAATGCCCAACATACAGTGTTGTCAACTCTGACATAACAAAATGTCAATAGTATGCTCTGATCCTATAGTAAAAATTTTAAAACATTACAAGGTGTGAACAAATTAACTTTATATTCAGTGTTACAAATTTGGTGTGCAGGACCATCTGACATTTGACTCTCCTGAACTCACAACTTTCATACACAGTTTCTTCAATCATTTTTCAACAGGTAATATCAAACATCAACAAAAACTAAATATTAGTTACAAATGCTGGAATGTGTTGGAATTATCCCTACATTTCTAAATATTACAGACTCGTAGTTTAATTTTAAAAATTATACAGGAATTATACCATATACTTAATATACAATAATCTCTAAAGGCAGCATGTAAAGAGAACTGAGATAATATTCAAACAGGGATTAATGATATTTTTGATTTGATGTGGAAGATGGTTCCATGGTTAAACCAAAAAGTACCCTAAGCATGATTTGAATAAGTTTATCATAAGTTTATGTTTCTGTAAACATGTTAAGGCATCTGCCATGTCTCTAATATATTTAAACGATGGCCAAAGGTAATCTGGAGCATTTTGAAATACAATTTTGTGAATAAGTTTCCCCTTTTTAAAAAAATAAGCACTATGGAGCGGTTAAAGCCTAAGAACTTTATTCAGAATTGTCTTCTATGATTATTACTTATGAATCATGCAGCCCTGCTTTGAAATGAATCAGGTCTCTTGATACCAAAATTGGAACAGCCACACCATATTGTGGACAAGAGTCTCTAGTGTTTTCATTAGGAAATGTTACACTTTTGCAAGTTGGTATACTCTTTAGCTGTTTGTTTCACAACTGCTTGTACATCAGAATATTCTACAAATGATCAGGCCCAATGTCTTATACTCGGTTACACTTTCCACTGGAATGTACCAATGTAGAGTTTTATGTAAATGTGAAGTGCACAGTTTTTGTCTTGTTCTGAAAAAAGCACAAACAAGCCTGTAAAAACTACAACAGATAAAAAATGCTGGGGTTGAGTCTGCAATGTCCTGTAAAGGATATGCAACTAACTTTTTGTGCAGCTCGACCTGACTATATGGTTAAAATTGTGTTATACGAGATTTAAGGGGAATAGCTAATCAGATATCACAGGTATGGGACTGGAAGGAATAAGAAAGAAGAGATTTCAAATGCTACTGATAAAAAGCAAAATGTAATGCAAACTTCAAGCTCTGAGAAACCAAACAAGGTTGAAACTGCTTACATGCTGCCATTGTATGCCTTCTCTCATATACTCCTCTTGCTCCTGTTTTAGAACCAGCTCAATGAACAGCTGCTGAAGTTTCTCATTGCAGTAGTTGATACAAAACTGCTCAAAACTGAAACAAAACAAAGATAACTGAATGCTCAAGAAGTTGCAATGTCAGATGTGGCTGCTATAACATTCAAACAAAATACCATAAATGTCTACATGTATAGAAAATTACATGCATTTAATGTTTCTGCTGGTCTAAGAAGAGAAGAAACAAACAATCCTAACATTAAGGGAAACAGACTATACCTAAAAGATACATTTTTCAAAAACAAATACCTAAAAACTAATTTTTATCTTTATATTTAACTCAACTAAATTATAATATCATACAAATAGCAAAAGAAATACAGCATTCATAATAAATTATGTGTTCAGTATGGTTAGTGCAAGAAGATCAAAGATATGCCTGAAAAAAAGTGTCACATTTGTCACTGCAACACTCATGTCCTTACATCTTCCCCGAAACCTGAAGCGGAAAAAGATGACGTGAAGAAGACACTGATGTGGTTAGTCCTTAGTGAATGAAGATGACCACCACTCACCTGTTGTTATCAAAGATCTCAAAGCCATAGATGTCCAGCACACCAATGACCGTGTTCTTGCCCACCCGGCCACCATGTCTAGGATCAATGGCATCATTGATGCGACCAACAATCCAGGTAAACAAGCGGTCATACATGGCCTGTGGGCAAGGCAACAAGTAACAGTTTAGACATCATGGTCAGAAGATTAATCATTGTTTTGGTTCTTTATAGATTCCTAACTACCCCCACGTGGGTCCCAGGGCCCTTTTGTGTTTGGGGGGGGGGGGGGGGGAATAACAGACCCTTCCCTCCCCCCCCCCCCCCCCTCCCCCTCCCAAACAAGCTTGTCAATAACGGCTGACTAAATAGAGGTGTATCCTTCAAAGTCAGAGTGCATCTGCCTGTGAGGTAAGGAAGCAACAGTTGGGGGAAAAAAATAAGTCAGATCTGTAAATCAGAAGTGCATGCAAATCTGAAGTTCTGAAACAAGACCAAAGCCCAAAAGCTGATGAACAATCAAAACTTTTAAGCCAGAGTTTATAGCCAGTGAATGTGAAGAAGAAGAAGAAGATTCTCAAATACACTGGAACGAAGGTAAATATACCTGCCTCTATGATCTTTTTTCAATTACCTTCATTGCACAAGATTTCATCATATGTGCTCAACCAGTCTCTATACATCACGCAAGATGAATTTCAGCATAGTCAAAGTATCATTTATGGGAAAGTGTCTGTTTGTGTGCTTTGTAAATAGGGATTACCAGGAACTCTGTTACTCCTTCTGTCCATCGTTGGTCGGCCTCTGCTTCACTGGAACCAACAGTCTGTATTCAAGAGAATGAGATCTGTAAAACTGATGCACACGCAGTTCAGTAGTGGACGAGCAACCAGAACTTTCCGCCAGAGTGTACAGCTGGTGAATGCTAAGAAGAAGAAGAAGACGACTTTCCACCTGGTCATTGCTTGCTGGCATCCGTGTTATATGGCCAAACAATTTCACTTGCTGCTTTCTAATATAATACAGAGCTGCCACTACAATTACTTTCCTTCGGATTTCATCAACCCTGACCTTATATCTTCCAGTTATATTAACAGCCCTTCATAGGAATCTCAGTCTGATTGTTGTAATTTTTCTTTTCTCTATTTCTTCCACGGTCCAGGTTTGGCATTGATAGAACAGTGTCGGGAAGACTTTTGTCAAAGAGTGCTCTCTTGATGTTAACCCATTCAAAGATAATTTTACTTTTTAGAAAATTAAGGATCACCACCAGCACCAGAGCATTTTGGAACGCTTGTTGTCAACATAAAACTAGTGACCTCAAACCCTCTGGAAGTAGTGAACCACTATTATATGAAACACCAGAAAGGATTCCTGATGTTATCATGCAAATCAATTCACCTACCAATCAATAATCTCTCTAAATCCACTTTCCTCCTCCTACTTCTGTGTGGTGTGTCACCATTTTGATAAAAATACAATGATACAATATTTGTACATCTTTTTTATGTATTTATGTTTGTATTCAAATATGATCAAAGTGTGTTACTATATTTACAGTGTACTGGATTTACAAAAATACACTTTCAAATTGAAGTTTTTGCTGGATCTTGAACAAATGAACTTAGTTTCCATTATTTTCAATGAAAAAAATTGGCTTGGAATTCAAACAATTTAGAACTTGAACGCCATCTTGGATCAGATTATGTCTGAATTCTGAGGCACCACTGTCATGTCAGTTTTACTATTAAAAAAAAAAAAAAGATTGGGGGGAAATTTAGTATTTGTCAGCTTTATTAAAATTGTATAGAAAAACAAAATATGTGTCAGCTTTACAAAGAAATTAGAAAAACACAAATAAGAAAACCATACAGTATATGACAGCCTTTTGTAAAGCTGACTAACTGAAGCACGAGTGAGAATTCACATGTGTGTATACTCAATCAATCAATCAATCAATCAATCAATCAATCACCTTTGCAAAAGCTTTCCTGGCATAATGGGCTTCACCAACATTGAGGTGCTTGTCGACAACATTTCCACCTGCTGCAATAACACGAGAACATAATGCTTTTTCTACATTCTCCATAGTCACACCCAACAAACTGGCAATGGTGGATGTCTCATGCTGGTTACTGATTTCAGCCTGGTCCTCGCCCACAAATTCAATGTTTCCCTGATGGATAAAATGAAGCATAGTAATTCAGATCTACATTCTTGGGTCTTGTCATGAGAAGGAGAAAACTGTGGAGTACATGGTGACAGTGGGAAAGCTGGAAGAGGCAGAGGGAGACAGAGAGAAGATGCTGGACAGTCTGACATCATGGCATGGAAGATCATCTGTGTCAGAATTGACTGAAGGTGCACAAGACAGAGGACTGGACAGACATCACTACCAATGCCACACAGCATGGATTAAAAGAGGAAGAAGAATGTCTATAATTAAAAAAAATTTTTTTACCTGCACATTTAATAATACTTATAGCATTACATTATACAGGAGCTAAAGACAGCATGGAAGAAAACAGTGACAATTTCTACAGACTTAAAATGCTACAGCACAATGTAAATAAAACACTGAAAACAATAGTACTAGGTTTCAATACAAAGGTTGCAGAAGAAAGAGATGAAGCTGCTACCCATGGAAATGACTTTGCAGAGAGAAATCAGATAAGACAGTTGAATGGGCCAGGGCATATTAAATGATAATCAGACACAAGCTGCTTTCAGCAAAATCCTAGAAGCTTTTAAACACAGAAAAGCAGAGGTCACAGTTTTAACAATTAGACTATACATAAATAATTTCTACACAGATTACTGTTAGACCAGGATAAGACTGTCCCAGATCCAGCCCTAGTTACTCAATACCAAGAACTGGAAAGCTAGTCAAAGATATTAAAGCGGGCTCAAAGAAATATTAGCAGATAAGGGAGAAATTATTTAGAAATTTCAACAGATGTGACTCAGTTGGATAATACAAACATCATAAACACATCACATTAAACTAATATCTCACTCTGACAGCAAAAAATCTCATTTAGTTAGACTATATCAGCAAATTAACCTCGCCCTTTCTCTCTCTCTCTTTCTTTCTTTCTCTCTCTCTCTCTCTCTCTCTCTCTCTCTCTCTCTCTCTCTCTCTCTCTCTCTCTCTCTCTCTCTCTTTCTTTTCCTTTCAGATATAAATACATAAGAGATCCAGATATAAAGTAAAAGACAAGGAGATTATTTACTAGAATATTTAACCTCAGAATTAGTATACAATATATATTATACAACAACAGATTCACATTTTGATGAAGCACAAGTTAGTACCCATAACATAAATATTTTCAACATAACTGAGGCTACAAGTATATACAACTACTGTTCACAGAAATATGTCAAAAATGACATCAAATGACTAATAAGTCAAGTTACCAGATGTAGGACGGAGGCCACTATTTTCCAGGTTGTTGCCGTCTCTTCTGGAGAGAAGCCGGTAGCCTTCATAGCATCCATTACAGCACGGAAGTCTTGTTTGTCATTGATTGAAGCCACCTACAAAAGAAATGTTAAAACTTTCACCTTAGTTGCATCATAAGTTAAACAAACCCCCCAAAAATCAACTTTTTTTAAAAAAACAATAAAACTGTTTCTTCTTCTTCTTCTTTTTCTTCTTCTTCTTCTTCTTCTTCTTCTTCTTCCTTCTTCTTCTTCTTCTCTTCTTCTTCTTCTTCTTCTTCTTCACATTCACTGACTGTAAACTTCAGAGCAAAGTTCTAGTTGCTCATCCCATTCTAGACTTTAGTCTTATTCAAGATCCCAAGTTTTGTGTGCATATCTGTTTTAGAGATTTGTCTTTTTTGTATGCAGACTGTTGGTTTCGTACCTCTCAGGCAGATGTACTGCAACTTTGAAGGAAACATCCCTAATTAGTAGACTCTTACTACATGCTTGTCAGGGTGGCAGTGGGTACACATATTTTCCTTCAAAATGGGGTCCTGAAACCCACATGGGCACTTTCTTATTCAATTTTTGTTTTTCCAATTCAATGATAGAGTTTACACCCTCAACCAACTGAAGAAAAACCTTATATAGGGTGTTTATATGATTAGTTGGGTTGAGCTCAGTTTTCTACTTGTTTTTAAACTCTGCACATGGTGTTAACAATTACATTTGTTATTAAACTGTTTTAACCTACATGGCGATCATAAATACTCAAATCAAAGATATTCTAAAAGACACTGAACAAATAAAATATTTTAAAACTGTAACTAGGAAAATAACCTTACCTTGGCATCTCCGCCCTGGTTGACGAAGTTGTACTTCTTAACATCCCTGGTTAGTTTCAAATCATTCAACATGCTATCCTGAGCTCCACTTAACAACTGTGAATGTAAGATGATGAATATTGTTATAACACTGGCTACTGTTGGCATTATAGTGCAATATCAACTAAGGATATTGAATTTATGCATTTTTATACTACACAGTATAATCCCTGGAATCATTCACTACAATATTCAAAGAACTACTTTCAACAACAAAAATTGTTATTTGTGGATTCTCATAAATATATTACTACCAACACAGACTCTACACCTAAGATCTGGTGTGAAATCAAGAGGATGCCTAGGAGAAGAGGGACTGATGACATTAAAGACATTCAACATTTGCAGGGAATGACAACAGCACCTGCTACCCCCTATAAGACCTAACAGCAAATCTGAAAACTGATGCCAAATATATTCAACAAGGTTGTACTAAATACAATGAGGTTATTATTAACTCGTGAATAAACACTATTTTTACCGTAAAATGAGTAGAAGATGTCGAGACAGGCCTCCACTGTGATATACATATGTGTCCAAGTAGGACATGAATGATACAAGTACTCAGGTAGATTCATGAAAACAAAATGCCTTGGACCGTGTTGCGTGGCGTTGGGAAAATCATGTAGGGAATGAGAATGAAGGAAGAAATGACTGCCGAAAGGATGAGAGCTAAGCATCTGAAAAGAAACACACTAAATATATTTAACGGCAATAATGCTCTAATTCTGGAAGACTTTTCTCAATATGAACAGGTCTGGTTAGTCATACTCGCCACTGTCATGGACTGTGAGTCTCATGCCTCCTCATAGCACAATGTAACACTATCATCTAGAAAGACAGAAAGGTGCCAACTTAAAATTTACCATAAAATACAACTTGTCCTTCTTCTGTAACCTACTAGGCAAAAGAAACAGAAAAAAAAAGACTAATGGAGAAAAGCAATACAACCTGAGAGAGTTATGCATCTAGGCTCCATCAGAACATACAGAGAAAAGGTAGAAAAAGACAATCAGTAATCACACGACAATGTGCAATGATAGTCATGTTAAGTAATCTTCATGTGCACACACACAAAACGTTTGTATAAAATTAGCAAACATACTTTACAAGATCTTTACAATCAGATAACTCTAAAGTTTGGTCTACCATACTAGTCATCAATACTGGGAACATGGCAAATGTATAACAAGAGGTCAGAACTAGTTATGAATCAAAAACACAAAAAGCAGTAACAGCTTTATCTCAGCTCTCAAAATCCAGTCTAATAAACAGATCCACATAAGTAATCTCACTGTTCAACTTGCCTGGTAAAATGAGTGAAAATTCCTCTCTCCGTTCTGCTGGTACACGACACGACTCTGTAAATTTAATACAAAAATAGCTTTACTATTCTCCTTGTGTCATCCTATGGTAATAAATTCATGACAAGCAAATTAACAACTAAGCACAAGTAAAAATGCACTCACAAGTATTAATCTATACATTCATATATTTATCCTTACAGTCATAAACTGCACATACACTCAAAATATACATACACTCTCAAGTTCCTCAAATCTTTCCCATAAATCCCAACTAAATGAGATACTAAAAAACACAGTATTAACAATCAAGGAACAGCAAACTAAATTCAGAAATACCTCATTTACACAAAGTCACTTAAGAAGAACACTGTTAATATTAGGGCTGTACCGAATATTCACTTCGTATTCGCTTTGGGGCCGAATAGTGGACCTAATAACTATTCAGTATTCGGCCGAATGGTTGCGGTCGGGCTGAATAGGTATAGTAGTTACCTTACTCCCGTTCCTGCATACAATGTGATGGACTGAAATAACTCTTTGATTAACGCAATAATTGTTGCTGCCGTCGTAGTGGGGGAAACTGCAGTCCGGTTGCGTGGTACAAACTGCATAAAAATGGCAACCGCAGTGTGTGTGTGTGCGCATGAGAGAGAGAGAGAGCGAGAGGGAGGGAGGGAGGGAGGGGGCAGAGAGAGAGAGAGAGAGAGAGAGAGAGAGAGAGAAAAGAGCGAGAGAGAGAGTTTTGAAAGAGGCGGGAGCCCGAAGACAACTAATCATAGACATCAGAAGGAGACAGTCGTCATTTTTCAACCATGTTATGAAAAGAGGGAAAATGGAACATTTGGTGACCACTGGAAAGATCTGTGGAAGGAGGAACAGAGGAAGACAACGATAGAAGATGACAGTCTTGTTGCATGGCATGGAGGTGTGTCAGCAAACGAACTGATACATGCTGCAGGAGATAGCAGATTGTGGAGAGGCATGATCGCCCACGCTAGTCGGCAAGGCACCTGATGATGATGATTTACTATTCGTATTGGGCCGAATAGTTGGTCCCACTATTTGTATTTAGCTGACTAGTGAAAATCACTATTCGGTACAGCCCTAGTTAATATGAACAAAATTGTGGTCCCAGCAGGATGCGAACACACATTTTGTAACACAAACTCAATTTCAGTCCCATGGAATTCATGTTTTACTGTATTTTATAAGTCAGCTGAATGAAGACAGGGGTAACTACAGTATAGCTGACATCGAGAAATAACAAAGCACAAACTCTGAATGGGAAGCTCAAGGGTGGGGAATGGGAAGCTCAAGGGTGGGAAAGGGGAAGATGTGCAAAATACAACTGAACATGTGTTTCATTCTGAATATCTTTTGCATTATCTTTCTATACGACCCTACCTGTTCTTTAGTCTTGTTTTGTCCATTGATTGGTAAAGACTATGGTTAAAACATCAAGTTATTTTTTTTTTGTATGCAACTTTTACATTTCCTCTGTTAAATTTCCTAGTGTTGATTTGTGTAGTGTTAAAATACTTCTAAACAGTGTATTTTAAAGTAATAAAAGTTATACAAGTTATATCAGCAGCATTCGTTGTTTGCAAAACTCAAGCGATCACTCCTCAAATGCTGACTGATCTATACAAATATGTCTAGCATAATATATGGCTGATGCACTGAAGCCCCCCTCCCCCCACCACTTTTTTTTTTAGTTTATGCTACAATGTAACACTACTAGTTGTCATTCTTGCCTTTAGATAATCAAGCTGTGTCACCCTTTATGCACATCATCTCTGACAAAAGACCTGAGAGAGATCCAGCTGACAATTTCTGCTGTATAGTAGTAGCTCAAGATATTCTGAATATTATACTAGAATATGAACTAAGCTTCCAAATACCTGTTACAGTATTAGTGAAGTTTTATAAAGGATATCTGGGATTTGTTTCTGTTAGAGTCATATCCAAAAAGTGACTTACTGAATCAACAGAAGTCGTGCACAAGAAGATAGTGCACAGGCTGGCATTTTTACTCCATCTGGGAAAGTCTAAAAACCTCTCGCTTTATCCAGGAATTGATCACATGCACTGTGATATGTATGACAGGCATTCTAACTGCTCAGCTTCACTAAAACAGTCAATATTATAAATAACAATTACCTTTTCCAACAAGTAATTACTGATATGACCACCAACTGGGTCCCCTTTGAAGTCAAAGTTGATGTCCATGTATTTGCCAAACCGACTGGAATTGTCATTGCGGTTTGTCTTGGCATTCCCAAATGCCTCAAGAATATTGTTAGATTTGATGAGAACATCCTTGACTCTGTAAGTGGACATGTTATTTATGTCTTAAATACTAACTTCACAAAAACCTTAAGCAAGATTGGATGGCACAAAATAACACTACAATATTGATGCTGAGAACACAGCTACACAGTTGAACCTTGTTGCATGTTTATGCTAATCCTTTTCACTAGTGAAAATGTATTTGTTATGGCTGACAATTATGCCAGTTCTGTTTTTGCAGGGGCTGACCCAGGGAATGAAGAAAACATGCTGGCGCTGCTATAAGAATTTTAGAAGTATGGAGAATTAGATGTAGCCTATCCTAGACTCCCAAGTCAACCCAACATTAAATGGGTACCAGGTAAATTCATGCGAGGTAGTGTTGGGTGGCATGTTGTAGAGCACACTAACCGCAAAGTGCTGATTGGTCTAACAACAAATGCAAGTCCAGTACTATATGCCTCACAAGCCTAAAGTCATGAAAAGGTTCCTTTTACCCTAGACTCGTATCACTGCCATGGGCTAGATTTCCATTATAATCTTCTAAAAATAACAATATATATAATAGAAGTAATAAATAATTACTAATAAACATGAACAGAGTGAAGCATTCAATAGGTGCATTCCCTAGAACCTAAAAAACAATATGTATCAGATAACCTATGCCATGACCTGTAACCTGTATCACTGAGGCTTACACGAAAAAAAATGTAACTTAGCTCTAAAAAAGGGACTGTGGTCATAAGGAAACCCCTAAATGCTATTTTTAGTTATCATATTCATATCCTGCACTGCCTGTGCAGGCACATACAGTACCAATGGAATTTAATCACCCTTTTTGAGAGCAGGTCACTGCAGACAGATGATGCATCTGCACATACAGGACTGTGTCACAATCGGAAGTGACTAGTTTGAGTCTACTATGACCGACAGGGTTAAGCTGGACATACCTGACATATTTTACTGAGGTAATATTAAAGTATAAGTAAGCTGAGTTGTATTATAACAATACATAATCAGCACAGTGAACACTGAGGATTACACTAATAGTGAATTCTACAATAATCAGAGCTGATCTATAACGTTTCCTAGGAGACTCTTACATATCTATGAAACAATTAAAAAGTGTAACAAGAACTATTACACACTTGCAAAGCCACCAGTGAAACAATCTTCATATTGTCATTATCACCATCATGTAGGAGGTCCTTTGCAGAATGTCGCTCTCATCACGGTCTGCCTGAAAGAAACTCAGTCTCTTGCCAGCTCTCCCGCCTCATTCACTTTCATACTCAAGGAGTCACTTATATCCTGTGCCCATCTTCATGTTGGTCAGCCCCTGCCCCTCCTTCCTGGTACCATGCCCTCTGCTATAATCTTTTCTGTGGCGCTTTATATGACCAAAATATTTCAGCTTTTGAGACAGGATGCTGTTTATTAGCCAATATTCCTTGATGTTCAAATCTTTCAAGATGTCAGTATTTTGCTCTTTTTGGCCCAAGATATTCTGAGAATATTTCTATAGCATTTCAGCCAAAAATCCCCAATTCTCTTTTGTTAAGGACTGGGAGATAGTCCATGACTCACACCCATATGTTGCTGCAGAGAAGATGCATGCTCTCAAACTTCTAATTTTGATCTTCTTGCTGGAGCTTAACCATAGACTTTTAGGCTGTTTAATCTTTGCATTGCTATGGCCATCCTTATTTTAATTTCTGTCACACAGTCTCCACTGCTGCTTACTATATAGCCTAGATATTCAAAGTTTGTGACATTTTCAGTTTCTTCACCATTTATTGTTATTTTAGGGAGACAGCAAGTTTTATCTGTGGACATTATTTTTTGTTTTCTTTAAATTCAAGAACAGATTTTGATCTTCGCTGTGCTTTTTGATAGACAATATTAAATTTTCTATTCCCTTTATGCTGTTCAAAAGAAGAACTGTGTCATCTGCGTAGCTAAGTTCCGGAATAGGGTTGCCACCAATTTTGAGCAGATCATAACTGTCACAAGTGTGGGTTCCGGGGCCCCATTGTGGGGAAAACAAGAAAAGACCCACTGCTTCCCCAAAAGTATGTCGTAAGAGTCGACTAATTGGGGAGCTTCCTTTGAAGTCGGAGTGCATCTGCCGGAGAGACAAGGAAAAAACAGTCTGTATTCAAGAGAATGAGATCTGTAAAACTGATGCACACACAACACTCAAGTTCTGGAGCAGGACTGCAGTTCAGTAGTGGACGAGCAACAAGAACTTTCCGCCAGAGTGTACAGCTGGTGAACGCACAAAGAAGAAGAAGAAGACAAGTCTGGTCATTTTTAAAATTTCTCATTATATTTTCTGTGTATACACTGAATAGGTATGGTGACAGAATGCACCCCTGCCTCACTCCCATTTGCACCTCAAACCAATCGATGTTTTACCAGCTGCTCTGATGGCTGTTTGTTGTTCATGATAAAGATTTTCAATTTAATGCACCATATGCGCTGGAAACCCAATACTTCTCATAATAGTTCACAGTTTGTGATGTTGGATACAATCGAATGCCTTGCTATAATCAATGAAACAAGCATGAAGATCTAAGTTGTATTCTCTACATTTTTCAAAAATTATTCTCATATTAAAGATGTGATCCCTAGTTCCTCTACTCTGTCTGAAACCCACTTGTGCTTCGTGTAGCTTATATTATAATTTCTTTTCAATCCTCTTTATAATAATTAAGAGGATTATGCTAGCATGACTTATTAATGCGATGGTATGGTAGTTGGAGCATAGTTTCAGATTTCCTTTCTTTCGGAGAGGGATATAGACTGTTCTTTTTCATGCTTTAGACCAAATTACACTAATCCAGATCTTCATGCACAGTGCTTGTAGTTACGACAATGGTCTCTCCTCCTGCTTTAATTAGTTCTGCTGGTATTTCGACGCAACCTGGTGACTTTCCTTTCTTCAGGCTGTATATTGCTGATCGTACCTCATCCAGTAAAGGCTTTGATTCTTTTTCATAACTTAACTTGTTTCTGAATTACTTGTCAGATCCTCATATATTTCTCTACAGTATTATTTCCATCTTTCTAATATGTCTTTAGTTTCCGTTAATGTTTTATCGTTTTTATCGCTTATTTCATGAAAAGAAGGCCTGAATTCGTATTTCAATGTTTTTATTTCTTTAAACATCTCAGTCTCTTCCTTGCATCTGGAGTTGTTCAAGTCTATTACAGGTATTTATAATAAACTGTTTTTTTTTTATCTTCTCTGATAGCTCTTCTCATTTCTTTCATGTAGTTCCTATATGCATGGCTATTTGTTTCTGTCCCTACTTGCTTTAAATTTCTTCATATTGTACAGAACAGAAATAGGAATACACCAAGGTGTTTATGGTAAGCGCATTGTGGTTCCCATGGCGAGGCAGTTAAGCCGTTATCTTCATGCTCAGAAAGTACCGGGTTCATTTCACCGATGCATTGTTCAGTTCAAATGCAGTTTTTACAGAAATCCCAGGGAGAAATCCCAGGGGTAATCACCGGAGCTACAGACCTTGTGTTTTGTGCTACACTCTTGACTAGCCATTCTGCAGACAGAAATCGAGCTATATGGGATTACCCAGTTCAATGAAGTAGGTCCTCTCAACTTCAACTTTATCAAGAGCAATATCAAAAACAGTTACAAATTATTTACAGCATTTTCTAGTAATAATCTCAACTCTTGTGTCCCAAACAATGAACCTTGTGTGACCACGTGTTGTTTGTGTGTAACAAACAATGAATACATTTGCTAGGACAATCTTCTGTTTGGTCTGAGACTTGTGTGATTGAAAAGGTTATGAGTTGTAGAGGGCTCCTAATGCAGAGAGTGCAACAAACATAATTCAAACGACTTGATCTCCACAAGAATAAGTAGGCGATGCTGTAGCTGAGCACAGCCGTCCTTTTGTGGAAGACAGAGACAACAAACTCCCCAAGTAGTTGGTTAGAAAGAGGAAAAACCATAGGACTTTTTTTATTAACAAGTATGTGAGCAAGCGTGTTTTCAAGAAGAAATCAGTCATTGTGACACAAAGTACCGAAGACAAACAAACAGCACACAGACAGACCTCTACAAAAAAATTCACCCAGCAAATGTTCAGAAAAACTTACCGCTCAACTTCTTTCTGACCACTAACATTGGTCACTGCAGCAATGTATCTCATGATAATCTTGGAGGCCTCTGTCTTGCCCGATCCACTCTCCCCTACAGATGTAAATAAACAACTGTATCAGTGCTGCTGCTACAAGAAACAAACAATCAGCAACTACTTACAGCAAATGTAGCAAGTCATTATCATCGTATAGCAGGCCCTTTGCAGAATATGGCTCTCATCACTGTCTGCCTGAAATATACTCTTGTCTTTTGCCAGCTCTCCTGCTTTGTGCATTTTCAAACCCATGGTGTCATATCCTTTGGGCATCTTTGCACTCATCGGCCTCTGCCCCTTTCCTAGCACCATGCCTACTACTACTATTCTTTTCATTCTACTTTGGCATTTACTATGAAAAAATATTTTTGTTTCCAAGACAAGATGCTGTTTACCAGGCAATAGTCCTTGATGCCAGATCTTTTAGGATGTCAGCATATATTTTTTTTCACCTTAACATGTGGTATTCTGAGAATCTGTATTTACCATATTAGTTCAAAAGCCCATATTGTCTTCCCTCATTACTGCAAAACAGTCAATGATTTACATCTGTATGCTGCTACAGAAAAGATGAATGCTTTCAAGATTCTGACTTCTATTTCCGTGCTGGTACTAAACCCTAGACTTTTAATGCTTCATGTACTGGTTACTGTGATCATAAACAAAACATGTCAAAAGTCAAGCTTCTCCAGCATGCTGCAGTAGTGCAGTAGCTAGCATGTTTGCCTGTCGAGCCTGGGGGTTATGAGGTTCGATACCCCTTTGGTAAGAAAAAATTTGTGTGCCGTCTCCACAATGAAGGTTGGCTGCAATGAACCCACTGCTGTCTTTAGGAATATTTATGAGGCAGTCTCGATCTCTTTAAAGGAGGCGACTCATGTACCTTTGTCAAAAAACTTCTTTTCTTTCTTGGTAAACCGCCCGTCACGGGAACTGGACCCTGTTACTCCATCATCATGACATAGTTAAATGCAGCCAGTGACCTCTACACCAACAGAAGAATTATTTTAAAACTGACCTGGGCTTCCAAAGTGGGCCAACTTAAAATTAGTCATCAAGAGATGTTGCATGGAACTAAGATGGCAGGCGTCATGTCCGCCATCTTCAATAAGTCAATCCACTTCACTTGGTAGTGTCTTACAAACATTTAGTATATTTATGTTGGCTACCCAGTCGGTTTCCATGTGGTATTAACGGGTATTCATCAGCATTCATAAAATTAATAGAGATCAGAGGTCACATTTCTTAACTTCATCCACTGGATGACAAAATATCAGGTTTTTGTAACGTTTCACTACACTGTATGCAGAACAAATTTGAATAACCCAAGTACATGACGCAATTTAAAAATGTGCTTAAAAACAGGCCATTGAATTCGTTACCATAGTTACTGTTATCATGCTAGGCTTGTTTTGGGGGAAGCTGGAAGGTACCAATGAAATATGCATTATAACAGGTCTTGGAAATTTCCACCACGTGTTAATAAATGAAATCGAATGTCTGTTTTGCTCTCTCTCTCTCTCTCTCTCTCTCTCTCTCTCTCTCTCTCTCTCTCTCTCTCTCTCTCACACACACACACACACACACACACACACACACACACTGCATACAGAAGGAATTTACTCAGAAGTATACACAAGTGTGTATACTCGCGTGCGCGAGTGCGTACAAAATAAAAATAATACACATAGGAAACAAAATATCTAGTACAAGAAATGTCCCCATGTGGATTCCGAGGTCCAGCTGTGGGGAGGGGGAGATAGATCCACTGCCTCCATAACAAGCATCTCCTAAGAGTCGACTAGTTAGTGGTTTCCTTCGAAGTCGAAGTACATCTGCTTGAGAGGCCAGGAACCAACAGTCTTCATAAAAATAAGCCAGGTAAGTGAAACGGATGAACAAGCAAAACTCAAGTTCTGGAGCCAGTGAATGAACGACTATAACCTGTGGCGGAAACTTTCCGCCACAGGTTATAGTCGATAAATGCTAATAAGAATAAGACTATAAGGAAATAGCTCAATTCTAGCTCAATTCAAATTCGACTCGTGGGGGGTGGGGTGAGTCGGTTCTTCTATAGTAATGTGTAAGCGTTATGTTCTTTTCTCGTCTGGTCACAATGAGGCACACACAGGAGACACGGATAGTTTAACCCTAAATGTTAAAATGTAACATGTCGACTCAACGAGCAATGCAATCCGACGACATGTGCGTGCGCGCACGATCTGTGAATGAAGCGTTAAACACTACAATGACATCTCGACCCACAAATGGGCAACAGTCACCTAGAAATAGGGGATCCTCCGAAGTCGGAGTACAACTGCCGCAGAACAAACGAGAACTGCTAATTGAATAAAAACGGATGTACAAAACTTAGGTCAATGTAGAAGCAAAAAGTCCTATGACTTACCGCCGGAATTCACAGTCGGTGAACAGGAAACACAGCTGTTTGATAAAGCAATCACAACTTATATCTTTCATATGGCACTATGTTAAGCAACACGTGTTTGATCAAGCATCTATGTTAACACGCTGTTAATAAATAATTCTTGAGTCTTGTTAACACGCTCGCACATAATTATGAATTAACACTCTCGCACATAACTCGGAGTTAACACTCTCGCACATAACTCGGAGTTAACACTCTCGCACATAACTCGGAGTTAACACTCTCGCACAAAACTCTGAGTTAACATTCTCGCACAGAACTCTGAGTTAACACTCTCGCACATAAATCTTAGTTAACACTATCGCACTGAGTTAACACTCTCGCACATAACTGAGTTAACACTGTCGCACATAACTGAGTTAACACTGTCGCACATAACTCTGAGTTAACACTCTCGCACATAACTCTACACTCTAGCACATAACTCTCGCACACAACTCTGAGTTAACACGCTCAACATAACTATGAATTAACACGCTCACATATAACGCGAGAATAACGTGTACTTTAAAAGTTTTAACAGTTAGTTGCGTATCATTTTCAGAACGTTGTGGGTTTTCTTGGCAAATGTAATGTTTATTAGTTTGCCACTACTTTCAAAATGGCCGAATTGCTATACCACTGTCGACACTGATGCAAAGTGGTCTGCTGCCAAATCGCCTGTAGCTGGGATCGAACCAGGCGCCCCGGCATTGCGAAGCTCGTTCAAATGCCAAAGCAAAAGACGCCGACAACGTGTACTATAGCCGTGTTATTTCATCAAGGAAATCAACCTTACTCAATACATATTATATTCTGTAACGTGCTGGAGTGGGAGATGTCTTAAACGGAACAACAGAGAGACGGTGGGTAACTGCTATGAAATCGACGACTATATTCAACACAAATATCAAATGCAAATAAGATGACTGGCTATTCTAGAAACAAATATATTTTACTGTTTCTCCTCACTTTTTTTATTCTGCAGGGGCAGAGAGAAATAGTGCCTGGAAAGATGGGGGATGGGGCGGGGGGGGGGGCTGTGTTAAAAAGTGCGAGAGGACAGATATGGTAAATTTCGCTCTAGCAAACAACAAAACAAAACAAGAATTTATTTCTGGTCTCCAATGACAGTTTTCGATCCATCGCGCGCCAGTGATTTCATGAACGAGGACTAATGAGGCTGATTCAAGCTTATCGTGGTTTTGATGTGGTCTGTTTGTGGACTAGGGTGTCGATATGGGTATTTTAGTTTGCTCTAATGAGTGGCTGGTGCAGGATGGCACAGCCCTAGGGATTCCAAGGAATCGCGGCAGCGCCGTGGCTACAGCGCAGATCAGAACCCCCGTGGATGTTTTTTTCTTAATTGGCTAGTGGCTCCCGGGTCGTCCCAGCCACAGGTGAGTACTAAGAACCTTCATAGAAGTAAATGCCGCTGGCCTTACTAATCACATTGCCAAAATAACACGGAGGGTCTATACAAATATGGGGCTAACACCATAAACAAAATACTTCCAAATCATGATGAAAACGGATTATTTCGGGGTGGTGTCTATGAAAAACAGATACATATACATCTACTATGATCGTCCTAACGTATATGCATATTACATAGTGATAAAGACCGTAGACCATTCATATTTAACTATTCCGTGTTCTTCAATAATGACGTTGACTGCCAGGTCGACCCAGTCTTGAGTGGGTACCAGGTGCAGTCCTGCTGACCACATCACCCACTAATGTGTTGTGAAAATATAGGTCTAGCCCTATATTCCCGATACGCCTAAAGGTGTGGAAAGGGGTTCTTTACTATAGAATCCCGAAAGACTTGCTACATTAACCATACGAGACATCATGCTGATCATGCACAGTCGGTTTTGTTGAAATCAAATTTTGCGTTTGATGGGTGGAGACATATTTAACGTTAAATGACGCATCCTACTAACTACAAGCGTTTTCAAACACTTGCCACTGTTCACAAATGGGCGTTATGTTCTCTCACATCTACTGTTTAAACAATGTGTGCTTTAAGTACAAGCTAGACCACCATAAAGACAACACTAACAAAAAAAGGGTCATCATTTTAATGGGAGGTTAGCCTCAAACAAGTGTCCTGACTTTGTTGCTCAGAAACTCAAGTGTGGGTAATTACTTAAATGGTATAAACATGGAGAATGTGGCGCAATTATCCAAAGAATGCAGGAGGCGGAATGATGAGTCTGCCCACTCTCCATACAGGAAACAGGGAAGACGCAAATCGGGACCGCTGAGCCCTAGTGCAAACACGACACGCCGAAAACGTCACAGAAATCGGGGCTAACACCGGGACAGACACGTTTTAGCTCCCCTGCAAGAGCAGCTGCTCTTTATAAACACACAGCGAGGGAGCGCTGGCCACTGGCCCACTACTTGTCAGCAGTTTGGTCAGCACGAAGCAAGGACAGATTACCAGACATGGTCAACAAGATCTGACAACATTAGACACATGGCGTGCATTCTCAACTTGTTAGAAAGTCAAGTTATGCTATCAAAACCACGAAAGATTGCAACTGTCGTTTATAAAGGTATCCTGCCATCGTGCTTTAGCCTAATTATGAATTAATCCAGTAACAGAAAGTGTATTGATCGGCG